GGGGCATATCCGGATATCCAATATCTGGATATCTCACTGGCAATATCTGGATATCTCACTGGCAATATCCGGATATCAATATCCGGATATTATATCCGGATATCAATATCCGGATATTTCATGAGCAAATATCTGGATATTTCGTGACAGAATGCAGTTTCTGCATTCCGCGAAGATATCCTTCCAAGGTTCTATTTTTAACACTTTAAAACGTCAAAGCATGCATCTTTATACTCTTTTAGGTTCATACACCAGTTGGTTAGTTGCTTAACTCATTAACATGCAAAAACATCACCTTTAACCCATTAAAATCCATGATCAAGGTTAGTCCAACTTACCAAAGGTTCAAAACAGAGAAGCAAAGGCTCACGGAGCTCTCCCAACAGCTCCAACTATGCAGACCAAGAAGGTGCATGAAAATACTCCTCAAGCAAGGATCTTTCTTCACAAAGTTTGCTCCTTGGAGCTCCAACAACCAAGGAAAAGGCTCACAACACCCACACAAGACAACTCAGACCCCAAACAGCCTCCACACAGCCATCATTCTCAGGGAAAACTACTCCTTTCACACTCACAATGATCTCTCTCACTCACCCAAGGTACAAAGTGAAGAGAAAAGAAGGAAAAGAGGTCACAAGGCTCACAAAATGGTGGTGAAGCAATGGAACAGTGAAACCAGCAGCTGACCAGCCCCACACTCACGTAGAGAATTCTGGTTTCTAGGGTTTTGTGCCTTAACAAGCCTATATATAGTCACTTAACCAATTAACACACAATATTAAATTTAATTGCTACGCTTAGCATTTTAATCCCAAACTCAGGATTCTTAACCTACTCAATTTTACAAGAATTATCATATTTTTCTTATAATTTTTGGAGCACCTTTCCGGTACGCGCTTTTCCATAGCCAATATCAGTTCTGGCATCAGTTCTCATTATTTTGACTTGGAACTCGTTTTACAAGTCCTATATATTATTTCAGTAATATATATTCACTTTTCATAATTTTCCGAGATACTTTTTCTGTACGCATTTATACCGACTAGCAGAACCGGTATCTGCACTTTTCTTCCGAAAAGCGACTTTCAGCATTATTACTCACTTACTATAATTATTAGAGCCTCATAATAATTATTAGGGTCAATTATCAAATCATTTCCTAATTTCACATAAATAGTTAATTAAATTCCTTAATTAACGGTGCGGGTTCTTACACAATGGCTATCCACATATCTAAAGCTATATTAGTCCTCCACACATTAACATTTTCTTGTTCCTGCTCCTGGGTTTGACCAATATGTTGAAAATTATCTTCTTTATTTGGTATCAGAGCTATGCATATATAATTTATAAGACCAAATTTTTTTATTTATTGAAGTAATTCTAAATTTTCGTATAGAGCCTAAAAAGTTCATGACAAAATTTTGTTTGAAATTTTTTGCAATTGATCTTGGAAACCTTGAGAGGAGAGTTTTCTAACCATATATCATATACATGTTTTCATTGAGTATTCTAAGAAAATTTCGTATATGAATTTATTGATTTTATTACATGAAAGTTTAAAAAATTTCTCTAACTATTTTCAATCGATACATTGAAACCTTAAAATTGCTTTAGACTTTTGAAAAACAAGTTTTTAATTATTTATTGACATAAAAATTGCTTGAAATTGTTTACTATAGGCTATAATGAAGAAATTTCGTTTATGAATGTAATGTTGCGAAATATATGATTCATATTATGAAAGTTTCAATCTTTCTTTAAATTGTTATTGTTTTATTGATGTAAAAAAAGATTGGTTTGAGAATTTTAGTTCCCCAGTTGTTTTTCACTGTTTTATGTTAATTTTAATATAAAAATCACACCTTTTTGTGTCAAGAAAAATCGTGACCCACACCTTAAAAAATCATTTTTTAAACTTCCAAAAGCTCTAAAAAATGGCTCAAAAATCTGCTGTTTTTGATATGGATTATATTAGAATTTTGTTGATTTGTTGTTTCTGGGTTATTTTGTGATGAAAATTGCTCAAAAATCTGCTGTTTTGAGCTTTGACGAAGCTCCCATGGCGGAACCTAATTTTGAGTGGGTCAATTCGCCAAATGAAGAAGAAAATACTACAATAGATAAATCTCAAGAAATCCTACGGTTTATAGTGAGATTGTGAGAGAGGCAGTCCTATATGCCCACAAAGCATCTTCCAACATCTTGCTCCAATCCTTTTTATTGGCATTAACAGTCTTCGGAAGGATTTGCTTAACTTCTCTGTTTGAAACTTCAGCTTGGCCATTTGTCTGTGGATGGTATGCTGTAGATACTTTGTGGAGGACGCCATATTTCTTTAGTAAGGCATCCATGCTCCTATTGAAAAAATGTGAGCCCTGGTCACTGATAATAGCTCGAGGAATGCCAAACCTGCAGAAAATATGAGAACGGACAAATCTACAACAACAATAGAATCATCAGTTCGGGTGGCTTTCACTTCAACCCATTTAGAGACATAATCCACAGCTAAGAGTATGTAAGTAAAACCAAAGGAAACAGGAAAGGGGCCCATAAAATCAATACCCCAAACATCAAAAACCTCACAGAAAAGTATAGCGTGTTGGGGCATCTCATGTCTACGGGAAATGCTACCTGCTCTCTGACAATTAGCACAAGACTTACAAAACTCATAAGCATCATGAAATAGAGAAGGCCAGAACAAACCAGAATCTAGAACCTTCCTAGCAGTTCTTTGTGGTCCAAAATGACCACCACAGGCAGATGCATGACAAAAATTCAAAACAGAAAGAGTCTCATTGTCAGGCACACATCTCCTAACCACTTGGTCACTACAAAATCTCCACAAGTAAGGATCATCCGACACATAGTATTTAGACTCACTTTTCAGTTTCAAGATATGAGCCTTAGTGGAGTCAACAGGTAACGCACTAGCAACCAAGTAATTAACTATATCAGCATACCAAGGGGACTTACCTTGCAGCTTTAAAAGCTGCTCATCAGGGAAATCATCCCCAATAGGTATAGGGTCAGATGGAAGAGAGGTGATGCGGCTCAGATGATCAGCAACTTGGTTTTCCGCTGCACTTCTATCCTTAATCTCAATACCAAACTCTTGGAGCAGCAACATCCACCGGATGAGTCTAGGCTTAGCATCTGCTTTCTTTAAAAGAAATTTCAGCGCTGCATGGTCAGATAAAACAATAACCTTGGTATCTAACAGATACAACTGAAACTTGTCTAATGTCTCCAAATTTTACATGCTGTTGCAGCTTAATACCATGGAGCAATGGGTACCTTGCTGGATTATGATGTTACCATTCAAGATCTTTCAATGATGCTCTTATTTCCCTTGTCTTGATGGTGGTTTAAAGATTTTTAGATGAATGACATTCTCTTGTAGACTTTATTTCAGCATCCAGTAATTGTATTTTTCTTATTTTCCCCATTTCTTTGACTCTATTCCTCTATGATATACATTCTAGAGTGAGGTATTATGTTGACTCTTTCTTGTTTGTCATTTTTTTCTTATGAGAAGTATTAGTGCATGCATGAATGGAACTTTCTTTACTCTATACAATTATTATTTTTGCTTAGTATCTACAGTGGGAGGCCTACAAGGCCTGTAGGCCATGTCAGGCTTTCTTATTTTGAAAATGGGTCGGGCTTGGCCTACAAATAAAGCCTTTAATAGGCTAGTAGGCCAGATAGGCTGATTTTTTTTTTTTTTTTACGTAGGCTTGGGGCAGGATAACCAAAGCTCAGCCCAGCCCATAGCCATCACTATCATCTTCCCTCCACCACTACCATATCATAACCCCAATCCCATCATTTGGGCAATCTGGTATATGTTATCTCTGTACTGTATCTCCTTTATGATCCAAGTCATTGATATTTTGAGCAGCGAACAACAAACAAAATTGAAGTAAGCACGTCCAGAGTCGATTTATTTATGTTAATCTTGAATAAATTTACTTATATTATCTTATAACTTTTAACTAATACCTTTACATGACAATCATTTTGTTCTCTAGCCTTAATTTTGTAGAAAAATATCTTTTACTTTTACAAGAAAAGATATACTTCATAACACAATTTATTTCTACTCCTATAGAATATATGTTTAATAAATAAAATATATTTAATCATGCACATCCTTAAAGCTGGAATAACATGTTGGGAGCAGGAAAATTTAGTCTCTAACATAAAATTTTAAAGAAAAACTCAATTAAAAATGAGTTAAATAAGAATTAGGTAAATAAAAAAAATTACAAATTCTTTGTTTAATTTTTGGGTTAAAAAGTATGGAAAATGATATTATAACAATTAAGTTGTGTTACTATCATATTACTACCAATCAATCTTACCGTTAGATCGATTATGTTGATCCAACGGTTATATTTATTTCCATCTTTGTATGGTCATGATTCACCAAATTTAAAGTGAAAGCATTAAATATGAAAAATCATAACCATACAAAGGTGGAAATAAACATAAAGTATTAAATTTGGGGAATCGTGACCATACAAAGATGAAAATAAATATAATCGTTGGATTAACATAATCGATCTAACGGTGAGATTGATTGATAATAAATTGATAGTAACACAACTTAATTGTAGTGTGAATTCCACTATTCTAATCTATGGCCAAAGCCCATAAGCAATACACAATCTTTCACGGCCCAAATATTCTATAAGACGTAGACGTCACTTCAACCATAATTTTAAATAAGTATTTAATAATTAGCACATGCACTCCCGTGGAAACGTAAGCCGTAAGCCCCAGAAAAAACCCTAAAATTTTAAATTGCTCCCTTCTCAGAAAACCTATATTCATACTCTGAACATTTTTCTCGCCAATCGATTTTCTGTAATTTATAGTTTTTAGAAGCTGAAGTGGCTATTCGAGGTCCTGGTGATTTGATTTTGTTGAAATGTCGGAAAGCACAGACTTGAGAAGCGATTGAAAGTTAAAAAATTGTTATAAAGCTTGAAACCATGGCTGATAGGATCAGCAATTTACCGGACGAATTTCTATGTTACATTCTCTGTTTTATGTCAACCAAACAAGCTGTTGCTACATGTGTTCTCTCAAAGAGATGGAAGCTTCTCTGGCGCTCTGTTCCCACTCTCGATTTCGACGATACAGGACGCTTCTCCTATAACAAAGATATGTATTCAGGCTTTGTTAGATTTGTGTACGCAATTATGCTATCGCGAGTTTCGCATTCGCTTCAACCCATCCAAAATTTTCACCTCAAGTGTTGTTCTTCTTACTGTGATCCTAGCGATGTTAACGCATGGGTTAACGCTGCACTACAACGTAGAGTTGAACACATTTCCTTGTTTACGCCTCGTCAAGTTGTGCCGTCTGCCATTTTTAGCCATAGACCCCTTGTGGTTCTCAAGTTGACGGGGTTAACAGTAAAAGCTCTCTCCTCTGTTGATTTTCCCGCACTTAAAGTCCTGTATTTGAGACAGGTTACTTTTTTAAAACTTGGATTTCTCGTGGAGCTTCTTTCTGGATGTCCAGTTCTGGAGGATTTGGTAGCAATGGGTTTGTGTTTTAAGAACTCTTTAATTGAAGGAGAATTTAAAAGGCTACCCAAGTTGGTCAGAATATATACTTGTAAACCCCTTTTTGAAAAACTTCGTGCAACAGTTAATGATGTAGAGTTTCTGCACATATATGGGGTACTGAAAATGTGATTTTTATGTATATTACTTTTCATTTTTAAGGAATATGGGATTTGTGATATTTTGTTACTGTAACTTTTGCAGATGGATGCTGTGAATAACTTCAAAGAGATGAATATGTTTCACAAATTAACCCATGTTGAACTCACCTATTACAAACATACTAGGGATTGGCGTGAGGTAGTGGAATTTCTCAAGCATTGTCCCAAGTTACAAATTCTTGTCATTAACAAGGTTTGCTAAATTAATTCTTAAGGATTATCTCTGTTTAAATATTTTCTTCACATATTTTATTAATTTTATTTTGGGTTCGCTTTTTGTCATGTCACATGACAAGATCATTTTTCTGCACACACAAATCAAGTGTGGGTTCCACGCTTAAAAGAAAAAAGTCAAACCAAAATCAGGATACGGCGCCGTATCCTCAAGATACGTTGTCGGATCCTTGTTGCAGAAATGAACAGCGTCATTCCTGCAACAATTTTTATATTTCCCTTTTATTTTATGTCTATTGTTAATTTGGGATAAAGAATTTAGTTGATGTTGATGTATGTCTATTGTTAACAGGTTTTGCTTGGTGGTTACAAAGAAGAAGAAGGAGATGTGCTATACCCACAATCTGTTCCTGAATCCATTTCATCACACCTTAAAACATGCTGTTTTAATAATTATCATGGATTGACAGCTGAGTTTCGATTTGCTAGATATATTATGCAGTATGCAAGAATTTTACGGACCATGAAAATCTGTGTTGACAGTACTACCGCAAATCTACAAGCAAAGCACGAAATGCTCAAAAACTTATCCTTATGCTCAAGGCTCTCTACAACTTGTAAACTTTCATTCAAATGAAATGATGACGACTGGGTTTTGAGTTGCTCCAAGTAGTTCCTTGGTATCTGCATTTTTATTAGTAGCTGCAAGGATATTGACTTTGTCTTGCTTTTCAAATTAATCGACATGTTTCTTTAACCATGTTTCAAACTTGAATTGCAATGTGTACGTAGTCTCTGGCATTATCCAAAACCACAGGGGTGGTAGGTTGTGAATTGTTAATTAGTGTTTATCATGTTGGTTTTATCTTTTCTCTCTCACACACAAGCGTGCGCACAGACAAAGATCAAACAAGAAGTTTTTTGCTCAAAAGAAACCGTTTATTGTTTTTTGATAGCATTAATATTTTGATTGTCGTGTATGCATATTAACTCTAAACCAAGTTTGGCCAGAAATTAACTTCTTATATAAGATAAGTTTATCTTTTCGACAAGAAAGGATTCTAACTAACATGCGGTATGCAAATCACTAAAACGTGCAATTAGCATGACAAGCATGAGTTTTATGGTAGGCTAAATCCTAATAACTTATCAAGCACCGCAATTAAAATTTGTGCAAGCAGCTTGTATGATGCTTGGACAATGGACACTGAACAACCAAGTGTGTTGTGGGAAGGAGTAATGGTAATGGTTATCAATATTCTGCAACTACGTGCACGACAAGATATTATTATGAGAAAATGTATAAGTTGTTAGTTTGTCAGCAACTTAAATGGCTAAGATTCAAGTCCTAATTTCACTCTCTGTTTCTTCTAGAATATCATCTCCATTTTCTGTGTGTTAAAAGCAGATTTGAAGCTTCTCTGATTTCCTCCATTATATTTTTAGGATTCACTTGCTTGGTCCATGAGATTTGCGGCAGGTGTAGTTTCCTTTCTTCTAATTTGAATAACAGGTGCGAATGAAATCATTTGTTTGCTGATGTAAAAAGAGGATAAGCAGAGAAAGCTGAAAGAAAAATGAAGTTTGTGCCAGTTAAATTTGTTTTACGAATGAAATATTTGATAGCCAAAACTAATAACTGTAAAAATCTTGCATTGGTTTGCTATCTAAAGAAAAATATATAGGTGAAGGGGTATCTTTTCCGTCCTGCATCCCTGTGGTTATTTTCTTCTCTTTTTTTTTATACTTGTTCCATTTTCTCATAACCCGGAACTGAAAATAAATTAGAGATTTATGCATCATAAATTTTATATGACACGGCGGTCCAAAAGAATTAGAGATTTAAGCGAGTGAAGTTTTATGAACTAATACCGGTAATGTTAATAAGTAGTGTCCTTTTAAGTAACTAAACCCTCTCACCATTCTCATTTCTAACACTTCTACGTAGGAAGCTCTCTTAAACCCTAACACACCTTTCTTCTTCCTCTCCAAGCAAGTTTGCATCTTTCTTTATGAAAATCACCCAAGATCTTACCTTTAATCATCTTATTCCCATTTGATAATCACAAACGCTTGAGAGCAAGCCTTGTGAGGGAGAAAACTCCTTTCCTAGAACACTATAGTTGCTGCTTAGGAGGTTAGAAGGTTGTCCTTCTTTGTTGAGTGGGTTGGAATCACTTACACCATCATTGGACTAACAAGTAATCACCTTTGAGAAGAAAGAACCCTACTTTGTCAAGTCATTTTCGTGTGCTTGGTTGGACAGAAGTGAAGAGTGTTTCAAGAACATCAAAGATGCTTCCTTTTTATGTTTTGAAGCTCATGGATGTATATCTCAACACTTTCCTTTGTGTTCTTATGAAAATCACATGATTTAGAGATGTAAAATTAGAGGATTTGGTAACCTATGTGTTCATTGATGAAAAATATGCATAAAAATGGTAGCTTGAACCTTTGTTAACCTTAAAAATGGAAACTTGTTGGTTTGGATCATGAAAATTGTATTTTCTGGTCAAAATTCGGGTTCTAATGATGTTCTATCCGAGTACACCTCGAACTCTACCCGGGTACGTCCTACCAGAGTACATAAACCAACAACGAACATAGTTTAGTAAAATTGCGATATCTCGAGCTGAGCTTCAAATTGAGTGTAGTTTGGACCTATGTAAGCTAACACATAGGGATACAACCCTATAAAATTTAGATCCATTGGACAAGTGAATTGATCACGTTTTGGGTTTGAAGCTGCTGCCTTGCCGTTGAAAATTCAATTTGTAGCAGTCACTTTGCGAAAAACATAACCGGAGTTATACAACCCCAAATGAGACATATAGTATGTCGTTGGAAAGCTTGTGATATCTAGTTTAACATACTAAAATCTTAGGATTTTTGATAAAGAGTTGCAATTGCAGTTTTAAAAATGGTAAATACGATTTTGTGCTTGAGGGCTTCGGAAGAAGTCTGCAGTACGCGTAATAAAAAAGAAATAGTGTCATGTTTGACTTAAGGGTTTAGGATATGTTTGTTTATGATGTTTATATTGTGGAAACAGATTCTGACACTATTGATTGTTGAGTTGGTGTTTGGCTTGTAGCCCAAGGTTAGGTTGGACACTAGCATTTATAGGTAAGCTTCTGGTCCTCGGATTTATCCACAGTTTGTTCCACCAAACTCCATGGGAGGATGGTTTGATGTGCATGGTCTACTTTTTCTGAAAAATGTTCGTGCATTGATATTTATCTAATACATGGGGATATGCTGGTTGATGTAATGCATGGATGTGATGTTGATTACTTACATGATCAGGCTACGACCCTAGTGTGTAAGGCATCAAGCTACGACCCTTATATTTTGGTAGGTTGCAGATGTGCGTAATGCTTATCCTATTCTCTGGCCAGTTGAACTGCACTTGCATACATCACATGATATATACTGAGATATATGATTATATGAGGATCAGATTATTTTACCATGATAATACTGTATTGTTATTGTCATGTATTGTATTATTTTGTCATACTTATTATATGCCTGTAAGTGAGTTTGGGGTGGAAGAATCCTTGAGGACCCCTTGTCTTACTGAGATTTCTAGTAGAGATCTCACCTCTTCTAGGGCTTATTTACCATGATATGTTGTATATATATATATATATATATATATATATATATATATATATATTCCTATAAGGCATTATTTTGATTTGACATGTTATGTTATGTTTGTATTTGTGAGGAGCATAGGGGTTGTCTATGCCTTCTTGACCAAACATGTTATTTTGATTAGAGAACATGTATAAGTTATGCTATTGAGTATTTGTAGTTGGTCATATGATGTAATGATATGATTAATCATGTTAGTTATTATTGTGTAATATGATTTGTATGTGAGATGACTTAAGTAACGGATTGCTAGAGGCCAAGGATGTAAGTAAGATGATAACTTGGATAACAAAAAATGTATATTTTGAGTGAGTGGTTAAGGTTTATAAGGATAAATCTTATTAACTAAACATAAAGGGAATGCGTGGCATTCATCTTTCTAAAGCAATATGTCCTAAGAAACCAACCGAAAGGGAATGCATGGAAAGGATTCCATATGCATAAGCAATTAAATCTATCATGTATATTATGCAATCTACAAGACCAAACGTCTCTTATGCTTTGAGCATTACGAGTTGATACTAGATAAACCCTGGAGAAGGTCACTATACGACCGTAAAGATTATCCTAAAGTACTTGAGAAGGTCTAAGAATCAGTTTCTGGTTTATGGATGTAATAGTGAGTTCAAAGTGAAGGGGTTCACTGATGCAAGCTTCCAAAGTGACAGATATGACTGTAAATCACAGTCAGGCTTTGTCTACACCTTAAATGGTGAGCAATTTATTTGAAAAATTCCAAACAGGAGACCACGACAGACTCAACTATCGAGGCAGAATACATAGCAGCTTCAAAAGCGGCTAAAGAGGAAATCTGGATCAAGAAGTTCATTATTGAACTTGGCGTGGTTGTTATCATCGTTGATCCAATACCCATGTATTGTGATAACACCAGAGCTATAGCTTAGGGTAAGGAACCCAGGTCTCATCAGAGGTCCAAACACGTGCTCCACAAGTATCACCTCATCTGAGAGATTAGTGATAGACCGAACATAAAGATGGATTACCTTCCCACAGATGAAAATCTGGTCGATTCTTTGACGAAGGGTCTTTCTCAAAGAACATATGATAGTCATTATGAGTCTTTAGGTTTGACACGTCGACTTGATTATCTCTAAGCTAAGTAGGAGATTGTTAGTATGTAGGTGTCCTAGAGATAATCTGTTTTATCTAATGAACACCTTGTACTATTTTGGTATTTCATGATTTATATATTTGAGCATACTTTATCTTTATCATATTTATGTCTCGCCTATATTTTACGATCAATATTCATTTAAAGATAAATGCCCTAGGGATAGAACATGTGTTCACTTGAGGACCCATGATAAGATCATGGTTATGAAGACTCGAGGACACTACATGTCTATTGCCTAAAGCTTGTTCCTAGTCTTAAATGACCAAGAAAGGGAATTGGTGATCTCAATAAGACTAGTACGACATCTTCTACTTGTATGGAGATACAAGATAGGGACCTCATGGAATGCAGGCATGGTGATGCCTTAGCTGATGTCGTGGGTTAATCTGTTAGGGAACATATGGCACTGAACTGATCCACCGAAAGACTCCACAAGGATTCATTGTAGAGAGTATCATGTATTTGTAAAATCTCTTATCGTTTGCTAGTTCAGATCATCTTAGACTTGAGGATGTCATCGAACACTATGTCCTATGGTTATGCTTTAACTATATAACTCTATCCGCCTGAAAATGAGGAGAACAGTGTACTCTTGGGTATAACTTCAATACATGAGTATAGATGGACATGTCGATAGAACTCACAATCCCTACAAGGACTAATCGTTCACAAGACTGGTAGGGGTTGGATGACTTCTAGTTGACTCAGAAATCTATGTATAGTAAGAGATCATGAGGAGTCATGATCTGTCTTAAAGTCATCAGAAGAAAATTCCTAGTTATGTGAAAAGCTATATTTAGTCAATCAAGAGAGATGATACTCTATCCTTACTCTCGACTAAATGTGAATGACGATGTGA